AGCCTCCTCACTTGTCTCAGCCTTCATAGAGTTGAAGAGAATTAGGGCTTTGCTCTGGATTAGACTTTGGTTTAAAGCAGTGGTTCTCAACCTTCTGGCCCTTTAAATACAGTTCCTCATGTTGTGACCCAACCATAAAATTATTTTCGTTGCTATTTCATAACTGTAATGTTGCTACTGTTATGAATCGTAATGTAAATATCTGATATGCAGGATGGTTTTAGATGACCCCTGTGAAAGGGTCGTTCGACCGCCAAAGGGGTCGCGACCCATAGGTTGACAACCGCTGGTTTAAAGGAATATTGTGACTTGTTTGATCTTTTATCCATGCCACTAAAATTTTCTCCATATCAGCAAAAAGGCTGTTTAGCTTATGATTCACATGTTCACTGGAGTAGTAGTAGGGTTACTTGAACACAAGTATTGTGATAATGCACTAGTTGATCTGATAATTGGGACAACTCTACTAACTAATGGGGCCAGTTGTATGCATGTCCTATCTAATAAAAGAGAAACATGGTAATTAGCGTACGACCGCTACCCTTCCCATTGGCTAATCAGGGAGATATGCAAATTAACTGCCAGCCAAGATGGCAGCCGGCAGCCAGGCAGCTTGAAACTAACATGAGGCTCGCTTGCTTCAGTGACGGAGGAAACCAACGTTCCCCGCCTGCCTTGCTGGCCTCTGAGCCTGCAGTTTGAAACATTGTAACAAATATAGAAGCTAAACAAAACCCCAGAAACCTGCTTTCAGCGAGCCGGGATCTCAGAGCTGGAGTTATACATTGTTTTGATTATAGAACCCAAACAAACCAGATACCTGCTTTCAGCCGCAGAGGCCTCAGAGCTGGAGCCAGAGCTAAAGCTGGCCCAGAATAAAAAAAAAAGAAAAGAAAAAAAGGAGCAGTTGGGAGCTTCAGCCCTCAGCCCCTCACCCAGACTGGCCAGGCACCCTAGTGGGGACCCCCACCCTGATCCAGGACACCCTTCAGGGCAAACCGGCCAACCCCACCCATGCACCAGGCCTCTATCCTATATAGTAAAAGGGTAATATATCTCCCAGCACCAGGATCAGCGGAGCCGAGAGGCCTCCCGCCACCAGGATCAGCGTGACAAGGGGCAGCGCCCAAACCCCCTGATCGCCCTGCGGCTCTGTGTGTGACAGGGGGCAGGGCCACAACCTCCCTATCCGTCCTGCTCTGTTCATGACAGGGGAAGGTGCCCCAACCTCCTGATCAGCCCTGCTCTGTGCCTGATACGGGGGAGTTCCTCAACCCCCTGATGGCCCTGCAGCTCTGTGTGTGACAGGGTGCGACGCCCCAACTCCCCCCCCCCCGCCCCCACGGGCCCTGCTCTGTGTGTGACAGAGTAGAGCCATAACCTCCCCATCGGCCCTGCCCTGCGTGTGACAGTGGCAGTGCCCCAACCCCCTGATCGGCCCTGCTCTGTGGGTGATAGAGGGTGGCACCCCAACCCCCTGATCCGCCCTGCTCTGTGTGTGACAGGGGGCGGTGCCCCAACTCCCCTATCGGCCCTACTCTGTGAGTGACAGGGGGGAGCTCCTCAATCCCCTGATGGGCCCTGCTCTGTGCGTGACAGGGGGAGCTCCCCAACCCCCTGATCGACCCTGCTCTGTGCGTGACAGGGTAAGGAGCCCCAACCCCCCCGATGGGCCTTGCTCTGTGTGTGACGGGGGCAGCGCCCCTTCCCCCGGATTGGCCCTGCTCTGTGCGTGACGGGGTGGCGCCGCAACCTCCCCATCGACCCTGCTTTGAGTGTGACAGGGCGGTGCCCCAACCCCCCAATCGGCCCTACCTTGAGCGTGACTGAGGGTGGCATCGCTACCTCCCGATCCGCCCTGCTCTGTGCATGACGGGGGCGGCGCCCCAATTCCCCATTCGGCCCTGCTCTGAGCCCGACCAGAAGCTGCACCTAGGGATTGGGCCTGCCCTCTGCCACCCGGGAGCAGGCCTAAGCCAGCAGGGCGTTATCTCCCGAGGGGTCCCAGACTGTGAGAGGGCACAGGTCATGCTGAGGGACCCCTCCCTTCCCCCCGAGTGCACAAATTTTTGTGCACCGGGCCTCTAGTATATATATATAATGTGGAGACACTGGGTAAAGGGATGATCACATCCCAGGCACAGCAGAGCGGATGGTGTAAGATTTCATGACACTACTCAGAATGCTGCACAATTTAAAACTGTGGGTTGTTTATTTTTGGAATTTTTAAATTTACTGTGGACCATGGGTAACAAACTAGAAAGTGAAACTGAGTAAGAGGGACTGCTGTTTTGAATGGTTACTTTTAATTAAATTTTGTCACTAGTGGTGTAGAGAATGTTACAGGTTGATCTTGTACCTTGACAAACTCTCTCATGAGTTTCAAAGGTATTTTTAATTTTGTTGGTTTGTAGGTAGATATATCATATGCAAATACTGATATTTTTATCTCTCTTCTTTGATTTTACATGTTAAAACTTTTTCTTTCCTTAAATGGTGGCCATGACCTCTAGTATTATGTTAAGCAGCTTTGTCCTATTTCTGATCTTAAATGATTCTAAAGTTTCTCCATTTAGTGTAATATTTGCTGAAAGTTTTTGGTCTCTGATTTTTATCAAATTAAGGAAGTTCTGTTCTAAGTTCCTATTTTGTTAAAAGTTTTTTAAATCACAAGTTATTGAATCTTACTATATATTTTCTGCAGTGAATGAAATAATTGCCTAGCTGCTTTCAGAAGTGAAAACCAATTTATGAATATATCTGAGTTACAAAATACTTTGGGAACAGGCCTTTATTGTCACAATTTGGCTTTGTAGATTTTTTTTTAACACATTGAAAAATCTTGCTCTAACCGGTTTGGCTCAGTGGATAGAGTGCCGGCCTGCAGACTCAAGGGTCCCGGGTTCGATTCCGGTCAAGGGCATGTACCTTGGCTTCAGGCACATCCCCAGTAGGGGGCGTGCTGGAGGCAGCTGATCAATGTTTCTCGCTCATCAATGTTTCTATCCCTCTCCCTTCCTCTCTGTAAAAAAACCAATAAAATATATTAAAAAAAGAACAATCTGCCCATATGTTAAGGAGGTGGCTTGTTATTTTAAGGATTAGAAAGGATGTATGCAGGTATGCATGTTTTGTGTTTTACAGAAGGGACCAAGCTCTGTTGAGGCATAATGGAAACATAGTGTAAAGTTGTAAACTCTATTTTATGTTTTAAAAATCTTTGTTGTTGCCCTAGCCCAGTGGTCGGCCAACTGCGGCTTGCGAGCCACATGCGGCTCTTCGCCTGTACGTGGTATTTTGTGGAAGAGCCACACTCAAGGGGCCAAAGAGCCGCATGTGGCTTGCGAGCCGCAGTTTGCTGACCACTGCCCTAGCCGGTTTGGCTCAGTGAATAGAGCGTCAGCCTGCAGACTGAAGGGTCTTGGGTTCGATTCCGGTCAAGGGCACATGCTGGGGTTGCGGGCTCAGTCCACAGTGGAGGTGTGCAGGAGGCAGTCAGTCAATGATTCTCATCATTGATGTTTCTACCTCTCTCTCCCTCTCCCTTCCTCTCTGAAATCAATTTTAAATTGTTGAAATGACTACATATGTCCTCATTGGCCCCTTCTATCCCCCTGCCCCCACAACTCCTCACTCCCCACCCCTCTCCCAGGCCTTCACTACACTATTGTTTGTGTCCATAGGTTATGTATATATGCATACAAGTTCTTTGGTTAATTTCTTCCCAACCATTATTGTAAATTTTTAAACTCGATTGCTTAAGTAATCTTACATTTCAACTTGGTACTTTACCAAATAGATAGAAGGGCAAACTTGGAACTATATTTATTATGTTAATGTTGTGTGTGTCTAAGGTATATATTCTCACTTGTGCCTTGTGGTTATGATGATTTATATTCTATGGGTGTATATATGGACAAACTTTTTAAAAAATATTTTGTTTATTGGTTTCAGAAAGGACGGGAAAGGGAGAGAGAGATAGAAACATCAATGATGAGAGAGAATCATTGATTGGCTGCCTCCTGCACACCACCTACTGGGGATGGAACCCACAACCCCACCAAGTGCCCAGGACCCTTCATTCCTCAGGCCAACGCTCTATTCACTGAGCCACACCAGCTAGGGCTGAACAAATTTTTTAAATGGACTAATACATCCTATATAATAAAAGGGTAATATGCAAATTGACTGAACGGTGGAAAGACCAGTCGCTATGATGCACACTGACCAACAGGGGGCAGATACTCAATGCAGGAGCTGCCCCCTGGTGGTCCATGTGCTCCCACAGGGGGAGCGCCGCTCAGCCAGAAGCCCTGAGCCAGGCTTACAGCTGGCGAGTGCAGTGGCGGTGGTGGGAACCTCTCCCGCTTCCACAGCAGTGCTAAGGATGTCCAACTGCTGGCTTAGGCCTGCTCCCCCACCATCAGTGGGACATCCCCCGAGGGCTCCCGGACTGTGAGAGGGCACAGGCTGGGCTGAGGGACAACACCTCCCTCCACCCTCCCACCCCCCGGAGTACATAAATTTCGTGTACCGGGCCTCTAGTATAACATAAAATGAGTGCATTTCCCATTCATTTTCTTTTCTTTTTTTTTTAATATATATATTTTACTGATTTTTTACAGAGACGAAGGGAGAGGGATAGAAAGTTAGAAACATCGATGAGAGAGAAACATCAATCAGCTGCCTCCTGCACAACTCCCACTGGGGATGTGCCTGCAACCAAGGTACATGCCCTTGACCGGAATCAAACCTGGGGCCCATGAATCCGCAGGCCAATGCTCTATCCACTGAGCCAAACCTGTCAGGGCTCCCATTCATTTTCTTATTGCTTAACATTTGTATTGCTAAGACCCTGGACTCTGTAAGTAGCACGTTGGCTGAATGTAACAAAACTTAACCAAATAGGGGTTTGTTTTTCTCACAAAAGTAATCTAGGCAGCTTCTAATCTTTGGTTCAGCAGTCCAGTAACATTGGATCTGGTGGTTTTAGAAAACATTTTTGTCTTTTCTTTCCCAGAACCTCTCACTATTAAGAACTGGCCAGAACTAAGCTATATGCTACCTCTAGCTGCAGGGAAGTTTGGGAAAACAAGTATTTAGATGGCTATGTTGCCTCCCCAAATATCCCCAGCTTCTCTTAGAAAAGAAGAAGGAAGGAATGGATATTGAGTAGGTAACTACAGTATTTGCTTAATTTCCTAATAATGGCAACTTAAAAGTTTTGCATTAAAGAGAAGTTTTAGTTTGAAGTGAATACTTCACAAATTTGTTAATCCCCCGTCTTTGGCGTCATTCTGCATTTTCAGTAGCAGTGTACATAGTCTAGTTTTCTTGGTAGATGAAATGGTTATTGGCTCCATTCCATGGGAGGGAGAAGGATCAGGACTCCTTTACCTTTAAGAATTAAATTCAATGGCTCAGTACCTGTTATGTGATTGGTGCTGCCACAAAATGTCATAAAATGACTACCAAAGAATTATGTAACATTTTTGTGTCCTTGGGTTGCTTATTGGCTCCTTAGGGAGAAAAAAAAAAAAATCATGCATGAAATAATTGACTAATGGTACAAGAATTCAAAATTATTTGTTAAAATGGTTAGTGGCATATTTTAGTTGTTGCTTTAATCTTTTCTTTGATCAACAAGACCTTGTTTAAAAATAGGCGATTTTCCCTACATTCTAATTTGGAAATTAGAATCCTTTTTGTTGCAGGAATATTGTTACAAATTGCTTAGATTTTTAACTAGTTTATAAACTTTTATTTTACCTAAGACATATGTATAATAAAAACATAAACATGTGGGCAAATTTTTTCAAAGTGGTATATGCATTAGGATTAAAATTAAAGTAGTAATGTTGTTTCTTCAGCTAGAAGCATTTACAAGTCGGTAGGTAACTGTGTGTTCCCATATTCTTATCTTTGTTTTGTGTATATTGTATTGTAGCACACGTCACATGGAGATGGTCGGCAAGAAGTGACCTCTCGCACCGGGCGCTCTGGAGCTCGGTGTAGAAACTCTATAGCTTCCTGTGCAGACGAACAGCCTCACATCGGAAACTACAGACTGTTGAAAACAATCGGCAAAGGGAATTTTGCAAAAGTGAAATTGGCAAGACACATCCTTACAGGCAGAGAGGTAAATGAGATTATGCTTAATTTCTGTTACCCTTGCTCTGCTTAGTTCCACATGAGAGAAAGAGGAAGAGGGCAGATAGATTTGGGCTCCTTTCTAAGCTAATTTAACAATTTTTTTAAAGAACAAGAAACATTAATTACTTGGGAATTCTTTTGCTTCCCATTTCTTTAGATGTAGTATATAGTATATTGATTGTTTGAATAATCTTTTGCTTTTAAAAATGGGTAGTGTTGTTCTGTTTTAGTAATATCTGCCACCATAGTAAAAATGGTTTTAAAAGTCATGTAAAGTAAGCACATGATACTTGCAAATCAATAGTGCTGTTTTGTTAATAAATTTATCCTCAAGAAGTTTCTTATCTCTCCAAATACTTTCCTTATAGCTTATGCTTGATGGGCTATGGTGGAGGAAGGCGTGTGCTTTCCTGCCTTGTGTGATATTGGCTTTCTGCTCAACCATTTTGCGTATTTATCAAAAATACTTCTATCAAAACTACTAAATTAACTCCTCCTCATGTTCTCCCTAGGCAGTGCACAGCCTGTTGCTTCTTGCATTTAGATCTTTGTACCTGCTTTTTCTCTTCCCCAAATGCATTTCAGCCTTTTGTGTCGGAATCACTTCTGAGAAGTAGTTGATGGACTCCCTTTCCCCAGGCATGGACCCATGATAAAATTCCTGATACATATAGTAATTTTCCTTGGCAATGTACTTGACCATGTCTGGATCTTAGTGCTCATAGATTCAACACGTTCTGTTTAATGAACATCGTCTTCCAGTGTGTACTGGTGCCATAGTTTATCTCTTCAGTGGGCATTGGGTGGTTTTTGATATTTTGCTGTTACAACATGTGCAGTGGAAATTCTATAACATAACTCTCTGCACCCTTGTTAAGAGTGTTTTTGTAGGATAAATTCCTAGGAGTGGCAATCCTGTGTCAAAGGGGATTAATGTTTAGCATTGTAGTAGGCATTTGGTTTTGAGAAAATGTTATATTATTTTATTAACCTACCAAAATGAATAAAGGTGTCCATTTTTCTACACTCTTGCTAACACTGGGCTGTTGATTATTTTTGTCTATAGGAAGGTGGTGAGATCAGTGTGTTATGGGGAGCTCTTCTTGTCCCCTCCAGGTGCTGGTTGGAGTGGGTTTCTTGCAACATCATAAGAAAAGGAATTTTCTGAGATTCACACCAGAGAATGAGATATTGTAGAAAGCTTTGTTTCTGTGGAATTGCACCCCTGAGTTTCTAAGGTCCCATTTCCCTCGGTCCCACCATGGAAGAAGTGTAGCTGTGACTTCAGCAGAGCTAGGATTAAAGCCGTTGCCCAGAGTTCCCGTTCCATGTTGGGACACAGTCCAATCCAACTTCACGCTAGCTTGGTTTGTGTTGCCTACTGTAGTTCATCAGTTCATTGCATGTGGGGTCCATCCTCAGGGCCACATGGCTATGGAGGGTACATGGGCGAATGCAAGGAAGCAGGAGCAAAGCCAAAGTAACCAGAGAGCCAAGGGAACGCCAAGAGCCAAGAAGAGCGAGAATTTCTTTTATTTTGGGATTATGTATCCCCAAATTTTCACAGACCTCCATTGGCCCTGCCCACTCTAGCCAATGATCTCTGTTCCCAGGCTTGACTGACAGACGCCTTCCCTGCGTCACCCTGACCCTACTGCACATGCACCCATCTTCATTTTGTCCAGTCCCTTCCCCCAGTGATCTTTGGAAAGTGGACCCATGGTTCCCTGGGGAGTGTGAAATGCAGCTTCCTAGTGAAGCTGCCCAAAATGGCCATGCTTATAATGTCTGTCTCCCCGCTCGCTCCTTTCCTATTATTATTAACTAGGGTCCTGGTGCACGAAGATTCATGCACTGGGGGAGGGGGGAAGGGGGGGTCCCTCAGCCTGACCTACACCCTCTCCAATCTGGGAGTCCTCAGGGGAGCCCTCTCCAATCCGGGAGTTTCTGTCTGTCATTGCAATCATATGAGCGGATTGTCTGAGACCCCCAACCCAGTTTGAATTGTTGCTCACAGAATAGAGGCATTTTTTTTTTCTTTGCTCCATTGGTGGAGATTTCCTGGAAGTTTTAGGATATCTTCCCTTTAATTTTTCCTAGACACTCTGATTTTACTTATGTCTCTCCCCTTTGCTTTCCCTCCATCCCCAACTCCAACAGTAACATGCTCCAGGCTCACTTTGCTCTAGTGCAGTGGTTCTCAACCTTCCTAATGCTGCGACCCTTTAATACAGTTCCTCATGTTGTGACCCAACCATAAAATTATTTTTATTGCTACTTCATAACTGTCATGTTGCTACTGTTATGAATCATAATATAAATATCTGATATGCAGGATGTATTTAGGTGACCCCTGTGAAAAGGTCGTTTGACCCCCAAAGGGGTTGCGACCCACAGGTTGAGAGCCGCTGCTCTAGTATCTAGGACAGCCGTGGGCAAACTACGACCCGCGGGCCGGATCTGGCCCATTTGAAATGAATAAAACTTAAAAAAAAAAGACCATATCCTTTTATGTAATGATGTTTACTTTGAATTTATATGAGTTCACACAAACACTCCATCCATGCTTTTGTTCCAGCCCTCCGGTCCAGTTTAAGAACCCATTGTGGCCCTCGAGTCAAAAAGTTTGCCCACCCCTGGTCTAGGAGATCTGTCTGCCACCATAACTACGATTCCCAGCATTCCTAGTGCTCCCTGTGCTCTGGGCTTCTGCTTCCGGTCCTGGGGCTGCCATCAGAACTACGATTCCCAGCATTCCTGGTGCTCCCTGCACTCTGGGCTTCTGCTTCCGGTTCTGGGGCTGCCACCAAAACTACTATTCCCAAAATTCCTGGTGCTCCTCACGCTCTGGGTTTTCCCTGACCAAGGGAGCCATGTCCCCCCAAGCCTCCAGCTCTCCTGCTCTGCTCTCCGCCTGGTGACCAAGGGAGGAACGTCCCCCCAAGGGAGCGACTGAGGGAGACAGGTCCCCTAAGCTGCCTGCTCTCCCATTCTGCTCTGTGTATGCAAATTACCTGCCATCTTTGTCGGGTGAATTTGCATACTCATTGGCTGGTGGGCATGGCTTGACCATAGCGGAGGTACTGTTAATTTGCATGTTTCCTTTTTATTATATAGGATATATAGGCTATAGGATAGCTAGCTAATTACAAAGGTATCAAATGGATTATAGCTCCAAGTAAGTGGGTAAGGGAGACGGTGATTAGAGAGTGAGAAACTAAAAATTAAGATCACAAAGGGTTTTCAGATATCAGTAGTTCCAAAGACTAGAGTATAACAATGTAAGTGGTTAATTTATGTGACTTTTTGTTTGTTTCTAGAAGCTTCTTAGACTCTTCTCATTTATCTTTGCTGTTCAGGAATTTCACAGGGAGGTGCCCCGGAGTTGGTCTTCATTCATTGTTCTTGGTGCTCGTAGGACCCTTTCAATGTAGAGATTCTTGTTTTTCAGTCCTGGAGAATTGTCTCAGTTTATTATTTAAAAATCTTCATTTTGGAACTCTTGATCTTTTTGTTGTTATTTGATCTGTTTTCCATTCTGTGTTTATTTTACTTTCTAGGAGATGTCTTTAATTTTATTGTCCAGTCTTACATGATCATATTCATGCTTCCCTCTTACCCCAGCTCTTTCTTGTTCTCTGATTATTTGTCTTCGTAGCATCCAGTTCTGTATAACTCCGTGAGTGTAGCGACAGATTTATTCTTTCTCTCTCTCTTTCTTTTTTATTTTTTTAAGGTAGATTTTTGCTCCCTGCATTGTTTCTCTTTTCTCTGGGGTTCTTCTTGGTCTCTCTCTTACATACAGACATTTTCTTTGTAATCTGTTAATCTCTGGTTGTTTGTTTGTATTTCCATGTGTAGGGTATGTTTGCCCACAAAGCTTTCTTGTTGGGAGTTGTTTAATGCTTTTATTGGAGGACCCAGGTTCATTAGATAGCCTTTGGCTCTCTTCTCTGGGAACATTCAGTTTCTCTAGATAAGACTCTTCACGTACTTATAGCTGCATCTGTCGTGTGTATGGGCTCTGGGTCATTGAAAGCAAAAATGCTTTCCTGAATGAGCTTATCAAGTGTAACTTCAGGAATAATACTGATTATAATAAAGCCCCTGTATTTCTTCGGGAGGGAGGGAGGGAAGAAAAGAAGGGGGGAGGGAGGACCCTATGTTCTGCTTGGAAGGAACCGGTGGTCCCACCTGTAAGTGGCAGTGAGATACTTCATTCTGCCTTTTTCATCTCCTCACTCCTGTTCTCTGCTGGGACCTTGAGTCCAGAGCCTTGTTAGCTTTTCCACAGAGTACATTTCTAGCCTCTTAAGAACCTGTAGCTATTGATTGGTTTGGGGGGCAGCAGCCATTCTGTATATAGACTTTTGACCTTGGGATGAGCTCATCAGCTCCCACATCACCTTCGGTTCCCCAGGTCCTCCAGGTATGTAACTGAGTTGTGCTGGCAGATCACATTGGTTCTTGCTGTTTGTTTCCTCTGTGGTCTCTTTCAGAAAGTTATTGAAGTATCTTTCCTACTGTTGTCTTCTCAACTTATTACTGTGCTTTTTTATGCTAGCTGCCTTTACTATCTGCCTTTACTGTTAAGAGCCTCCACATTTAACTGCAAGTGTCCTGTTTTCTACCCCAGAGAAGGCACCAGAGTGGGTGGGAGGAAGGATTAGAATTTGAACCAATTACCTTTATCCTCTTAGTGCTCAATATGTATTTGTTGTTGATTCTAAGAATGATAAAATTATAATTCTTCATCCTGGGATGTCTGAACTTCTTGAGATTTTACATAAGTGGCTATACATTTTTTTAAAATATATTTTTGTTAATCCTCACCCAAGGATATTTTTCCATTGACTTTTAGAGAGAGTGGAAGGGAGAGGGAGAGAGAGAGAGAAACATTGATGTGAGAGAGACACATAGATTGATTGCCTCCTGCAAGTACCCTGACCAGGGTGCACCCTGACCAGGGTCGGGGATCGAGCCTGCAACCGAGGTATGTGCCCTCGATTAGAATTGAAGCTGGGACCTTTCATACTGTGCGTTGACACTCTATCTCAGTGATAGTGAACCTTTTGAGCTCAGCGTGTCAGCATTTTGAAAAACCCTAACTTAACTCTGGTGCCTTGTCACATATAGAAATTTTTGGTATTTGCAACCACAGTAAAACAAAGACTTATATTTTTGATATTTATTTTATATATTTAAATGCCATTTAACAAAGAAAAATCAACCAAAAAAATGAGTTCGCATGTCACCTCTGACACCTCTGTCATAGGTTCGACATCACTGCTCTATCCAGTGAGCCAAACCGTCTAGGGCAGCGGTTCTCAACCTGTGGGTTGCGACCCCTTTGGGGGTCGAACGACCCTTTCACAGGGGTCGCCCAAATACATCCTGCATATCAGGTATTTACATTACGATTCATAACAGTAACAAAATTACAGTTATGAAGTAGCAACGAAAATAATTTTATGGTTGGGGGTTACCACAACATGAGGAACTGTATTAAAGGGTTGTGGCATTAGGAAGGTTGAGAATCACTGGTTTAGGGTAATAGTAATACATTTTAGTCACAACAATTTTTTTAGTCTGTGAAGAATACATTACCTTTAGAGAAAGTTTGGAGATTTGAGAGGGGAAAAATCCCAGTCATAATTCCCTGAATACCATTGTTATCTTTGTATATTCTACATATTTATGTGTATGTTTTCTCAACATACTTTGGGTCGCAGTTTTGTATCCTGGCTTTCCCCCCTCACAATTTTATTGCTGCATAACCATTAAAACTAAATGTCAGTTGTTTTGTGCAGCTCCATTGATTAACAACAGTTCTCAAACTTTTTTTGTTGTTAATCCTCACCTGAGGATAATTTTTCCATTAATTTTTAGAGAGAGTGGAAGGGAGGGGGAGAGACAGAAGAGAGAGAAACATCAATGTGAGAGAGACACATTGATTGGTTGCCTCCCACGCCGCCCTGACTGAGGTACATGCCCTTGACTGGAATTGAACCCAAGACCCTTCAGTCCATGGGCCAACACTCTAACCATTGAGCCAAAATGGCTAAGGCTGTTCTCAAACCTTTTTGTCTCAGGATTCCTTTAAATTTTTAAAATTAAGGGCTCTCACCCTGGCCAGGTGACTCAGTTGACTGCAGGTTCGATCCATGAGGCATGTACGGGAGGCAGCCGATCTATGTTTCTCTCTCTCTCTCTCTCTCTCTCTCTCTCTCTCTCTCTCTCTTTTTTCTCCCCTTCCCCCACGTCTCTCTCTAAAAATCAATAAAAGCATATCTGCGGGTGAGGATAAAAACATGGAGAACTTGTTTATATGGGTTATATTTATTGATACTGCAGTAGAAGTTAACACTAAGGAGCTTAAGATATATATTAATTCATTTAAAATAACCTATTACATATTAATATAAGTAATGTATTTTTATGAAAAATGACTCTTTCCAAAACAAATTATTGAGAAGAGTACACTTTTAATTATTTGCAAATCTCTTTAATGTCTGCTTAATAGAAGTTTGCTAGGTTTTCATATCTGCTTCTGCATTCAAACTACTTCAGTATGTTGTTTTGGTTAAAGTGTATGAAAAAACCTGATCTTCCACAGACAGACACGTGGCTGGAAAAGAGAGGAATGTTCTAATATCCTTTCAAGTGCTCGCAGGAATTTTTCTCTGACTGTCTACTGAAACTCAACAAGTAGTAATTTCTTGGGGTGGGGAGGGCAGTGCTTAATCGAATGTTTATTCAAAACAACTATAGTGATTGACAAAGAGTTACTACCCAGGCAGTTTGCTTCATTTGGAAGTTAACAGTGGCAGATTTGGAAGTGGGCAGAGGGTGGAAGAGCCTTCGTGTTCTGATCGCAGATGTGACTGAAAAGCATAAGACAGTTGGTGGTAGTGCATTTAGTACAACCTGGAGGTCAGGACTTTACAGTTCACATGCAGAAAAGGAAAAACTCACATAAACACAATTCCTACAAATTGACAATCTCTCAATTACACTATTGTGACTCCTTTAAAAAATATGTAAAATTTACCATTTTAACAATTTTTATGTGTACAGGTCAGTGGCATTAAGTATATTTGCATTGTCGCGCAATTACCATCATTATCTGTCTCCAGAACAGATACAGTTGATCTCATTATTTGCAAATTCCATATTTGCACACTCACCCACTACCTGAAATGTATTTGTGGTCCCCAAATCAGTACCCAGTGCTTTTGCAGTCATTTACGGACGTGCAGAGAGCAGTGAAAAGTTTGAACTGCTGGATGTGCATTCCCTAGTTGAGGTCAACAAGGTGACACTCTGCCTTGTTTCAACTTTCATACTCTAAACAAATGCCCTTTCTGTGGTTTGTTTAGTCCATTTCTTTTTCACATTTTTGTTGATGATTTTGCTGTTTAAAAAATATATATATAAATATATATATATATACACACACACACACACACACACACACACACACATATACATACATACTGGAGGGGGTTCCCTCACAGTCTGGGAGCCCTCAGGGGCAGGAGGTGACCCGGCGATCAGGGGAAGGCAATGCCCCATCACACCTCTGCTGCTGCCACTGCCAGCAGCGCAAGCCTTGGCCGGCCCTGGTTACCTGAGCCTGAGTCTTTATTGAAATATAAAATATCTTAGAAAAGTCTTAAATCATAAGTGTACAGCTTGATGAAATATCACAAAGTAATCATGTTTGTATCATCCTGATCCAAAATATACTAAGGGCAAAAATATGCTATGACTTGAACCCCAGCACCTTCCTTCTGCCTCCTCCTCATCTTTTCACTGTTCTTCCTCCCCAAGGTAATAGCTGTGCTGACTCTAACACCAGAGAGGAGGGTTTCTTTCTAACATTGTGCTAATGGAATCATACAGTGTATCATTTGTGTCTGTCTCTTTTACTCCACTTGATGCTTGCGACATTCCTCCATGTTGTGTATTGATAGGCTTTAATTTGAATTTTTATTTTGTAGTCTCCTGTTCTAGTTGTTTGGCTTCGTCTTTATGCTGTGGACTGAATTGCGTTCCCCAAAACTCATATGTTAAAGCTTTAACCAGTGTGGCAGTTTTGGAGAATGGGCCTTTGTAGAAGTCATTAGGTTTACCTAATTACAGGTTACTATGGTAGAGCCCTGATCCAGTCGGGTTTGTGTCCTGATAAGAAGAGCCACTAGAGCGCTTGCTTTCTCTCTCCGCCATGTAAGGACACATTGAGAAAGCGGCCGTGTGCAAGCCATGAGGACCATCCTCACCAGGAACTGATCACGCTGGCACCCTGAGCTCAGCGTCCCAGCTTCCCAGACTGTGGGAAATACATTTCCACTGGGTAAGCTACCTGCTCTGTAGTATCTTTTATGGCTGCCCAGGCTGAGGTATGTGCAGTTCTTCCAGGCTACTGTGTCTTGAAGGTCTTGGGTCTTTTTTTGTCGTGCTCTGGCAGTGGTGGTGGGTGCTTTAACACCTGTTGGGAGCTGTATAGATCTTTTGACCAGTAGTGAATTGACAGGGTTTTTCTCCAGGGGTGTGTGCTATGGGTTTGTTGGGTCCTTTTGGTTTAGGAATGTTGGGGGGAAGCCCTTATCATGCATGAGCTTATTTCTATTTTGTAATTTTCCACTGTGTGTCTGGCATCAGGGTGAATCAGTGGAATTTCCAGAACTTCACACAAGTGGCAGGGAGTCTCCTCTTCCTCACGTAGTGAACTCCTTTTTGCTGTGCGCCACTCCTCACCCCACCCCACCCCCGAAAAACCATCTCTACAACCTGGGAATGAGCGGACGCTCTCTCTCCAGTCCCCATCTTCCTGTGAAGTGATGCATCACAGTTGGCTCCTTTTTTGGTGACTTCAAGGGCTGAGCTGTTCTACAGGCCCCAGCTCTGGGCCAAGGTTATTTTGGTAGCTGAGCCATCCCAACAGGGAGCTGAAAGGAAGAGGGGATTAGGAGCTTCCTCCTGAGGCTTCAGTGACACACACACACACAAACACACGCACACACTGTTTCACATTGAGGACACTTGCTTTTGATAAAATGACTTCAGTTTGATTTAGTCAAATGCCATATATTTGAGCTCCTGTTTTTGCCTTAGCTATTACTTGAATAGCACTACTTGAAAATGAAAATGTGTAAGAACAGCTCTAACCGGTTTGGCTCAGTGGATAGAGCATCAGCCTGTGGACTGAAGGGTCCCAGGTTCGATTCCAGTCAAGGGCATATACCTTGGTTGCGGGCTCATCACCAGTAGAGGGTGTGCAGGAGGCAGCTGATGGATGTTTCTCTCTCATCAGTGTTTCTAACTCTCTATCCCTCTTCCTTCCTTTCTGTAAAAAATCAATAAAAATATATTTTAAAAAAACGCGTAAGAACAGAATCAGAATAGAATCTTTGGTGGATATTGAAGAGAACCAGAAGAAACCAGTGATCAGAAGTCCAGTCATGGCCCTAGCCAATTTGGCTCAGTGGATAGAGCATTGGCCTGCGGACTGAAGGGTCCCAGGTTCGATTCCTGTCAAGGGCACATGCCTGGGTTGAGGGCTCGATCCCCAGTAGAGGGGCGTGCAGGAGGCAGCCTATCCATGATTCTCTCTCATCATAGCTGTTTCTATCTCTCCCTTTCCCTTCCTCTCTGACATCAATTAAAAAAAAAAAAAAATCCAGTCATTGGAAGAAACCAGATCTCAGAAGATCTCTCCCTCCCTTACTGCCTCCCTTTCTCTGTCTCTGAAATCAAGAAACATATTCTCAGGTGAGGATTAAAAAAAAAAAAAGACACATAACAAAATTTACCATCTTAACCATTTTTAAGTGTATATTTCAGTGGAATTAAATACGTTCATAATGTTGCATAATCATCACCATCACCACCATCTTATCTCCAGAACTTTTTTCATCTTGTAAACCTGAAACTCTGTCTTCATCCCCCCTCCCCCCTGCTCCGGGTACCTGCCACCTACTTTCTGTCTCTATGATTTTCAGTATTCTAGGTATCTCATATGAGTGGAATCATACTGTATTTGTTCTTTTGGGACTGGCTTATTTCACTTAGCATAATGTCCTCAAGGGCTATTGATGTTATAGCATCTGCCAGAATTTTCTTCCTTTTTAAGGCTGAGTAATATTCCATTGTATGGATAATTCCACATTAGACTTCTCCATTTGCTCCTCAAAGGAAACTTGGATGACTTCCACATCCTAGCTATTGTGAATAATGCTAATCATGGGTGTATAAATATTTATTTAACTCCCTGCTTTCAATTCTTCGGGGTTTATAGCCTGAAGTGGAATTGCTGGATCACATGGTAATTGTTTTTAGTTTTTTGAGGAGCTCTGTACAATTTTCTACAATGGCTGTACTATTTTGCATTCTTACCAAAAGTACACAAGTGTTCCATTTGCTGCACATCCTTGCCAAGGCTTATTTTATTGATGGGTTTTTGACAGTTGCCGTCCTGATGTGTGTACAGTGTTATCTGGTAGTTTTTTGTTTTTGTTTTGTTTTGTTTTTGGTATAGCAAAGGCGGAAATTTATTGAAGAACAAGTACAGACTCCCACGTGGGGAAAGGGAAAGAGTCCCACAGCACAGACTCCCACGTGGGGCAGGGAAAGAGTCCCCTGCCTGGTAGTTTTGAGTTGCATTTCCCTAATGACAAGCGATGTTGAGCATCTTTTCCAGGTGCTTACTGACCTCTGCATATCTTTACCCATTTTTGAATTGGGTTTGTTTTGTTGTTGAGTTTTAGAAGTTCTGTATATATTGTAGCTATTTATCCCTTATCAGATGTATGATTTGCAAATATTTTCTCCCATTCTGTGGGTTGTCTTTTCACTCTGCTGATACTTTTTTTGTGTGTCTGACCTTACTTATTTGTTACTCTTAGAAAAACCTTACTTTTGATTGGACTCAGATGTGGAGGTAAAATCCTTAAGAAGACAGCCTCTGTCTCCTGGCAGTCGGTTCCAGGTCTCTCATTGTCCTCCTTCATTCTCCTAACTACATGGCCAGCACATTCTCTGGCCTCTTTCTTTTTTTTTTCTTTTTTTAAAATATATTTTAATTGAATTTTAGAGAAGGGAGAGGGAGCGAGAGATAGAAACATTAATGATGAGAGAGAATCATTGATAAGCTGCATCCTGCACATCCCCTACTGGGGATCGAGCCTGCAACCCAGGCATGTGCCCTTGACTGGAATCGAACCTGGGACCCTTCAGTCCACAAGCCAAGGCTCTATCCCAGCCGTGGGCAAACTACGGCCCGTTTGAAATGAATAAAACTAAAAAAAAAAAAAAAAAAAAAAAGACCGTACCCTTTTATGTAATGATGTTTACTTTGAGTTTATATTAGTTCACACAAACACTCCATCCATGCTTTTGTTCCGGCCCTCCGGTTCAGTTTAAGAACTCATTGTGGCCCTCGAGTCAAAAAGTTTGCCCACCCCTGGTCTATCCCCTGAGCCAAACCAGCTAGGGCTGGCCTCCTTCTTATTTCTCGTCCATGATGTTTCTTCAGAGCAATACGCTAGTGTTTGTGTTGCAGGACACGTGGAGTGACAAGATGCTGAGTCTTGGGTGCTTTGGTCTGAGGTTTTTTACCTTCTTTGTTTAGGGGCTTTCTCACAACGTATTGGTGAACATTATCTTCTTTAGAGAGATTGAAAGATTTGTGGCTTCTGCCAACTCTTTTGGGCTTCAGGCGATGAGACAAAGTGATATCAGTGAGACCAGGAATATCTCTCTTTCCTCTTTTTACAATGACCAGGTTGAGAGCACTGAGGTTGCATCTACAGTGCAACCCCAAACAGATTTGCGCCTCCTTTATCCAGTTCTCCAGGAATGCCCTTTCCTCCGTAGCAGGTGGACATGGGTCAAGACACCCTTCTTTATGGGTAACCTTGTTGGCAGTTCCCACCACTGTTAAGCCACACAAGCCTTCCACTCTTCACCCAGAATGTCAGCACCAACTTCTGTGCCACACGCTTTTCATAAAAGGTACGAAGTTTGTGTTTATCATCTGCTTCAGTGAGTTTCTGATAGTGGCTAGGAAAAAGATATTCAGCTTCATCCAGAAGTAGCCGACTGCTTCCAAGTGCCGTGATAAAGAGCTGGATGTTGTCTTCTGATACACAGAATTTAAAATTTTTCATCAAGTTCAATTTGTCTTTTTTTCCTTTTGTTACTTGTACCTTTGGTGTCATATCCAAGTGATCATTGCCAAATCTAATGTGAAGCTTTTGCCCTGTTTTCTTCTAAGAGTTTGATAGGTGTAGGTCTTACATTTATACTTATTGATCCTCTTTGAGCTAATTTTTGTATATGATGTTAGCTAAGAATCCAGTTTCACTCTTTTGCATATAGATGTTTGTTTTTCTTAGCACCATTTCTAGAATATTATTTTGAAATGAATTGTTCAGTTATTTTTGCACTTATCAGTTTATTTGTAATATGGCAAATATCTAGATATAACCCACATTTGGGATCACCAATAATCTTAAGAGTAGAAAGGGGACTAAAATTTTTTATACCTGTTGACATAGAGACTCTTTGAGCATTTTTTCCAGACTCTGGCTGCAACCCCTTTCTTCACTGGTACTTCTTATTAGGTCTCTTTTCTGAAGGATGCACAGTAGGAAACACAGCCTCACCGATATGTGGCAAGAGCATTTGTTGTCATGGATCTTAGGTGCAAAGCAGAGCTATGTCCCCCAGTTCATGGCAAAGTCTCCCTCTTATGTTTCCTTCTATCATCTTCTGTTGTTACCCCTCTCCCCCATCCTGGATGCCCATAGTTTCTAGAAATCCTATATAATAAAAGCCTAATGTGCTAAGTGTCTAGTCGTCCGATTGTCTGTTCAACCAATAAAAGCATAATGTGCTAATGATATACTAAGGCTGGTCAACCACTCACTATGATGTGCACTGACCACCAGGAGGCAGACACTCCGACTGGTAGGTTACCTTGCTGCTGGGATCCAGCTGATTGGGACTGAGACAGGCTGGGCACACCCTGGAGCCCTCCCGCAGTCCCTCCCCGGCTGGCCAACCTCCTGTGTACCTCCCCAGCCCTGATCGTGCACCGGTGGGGTCCCTTGGCCTGGCCTGCACCCTCTCGCAATCCAGGACCCCTCGGGGGATGTTGGAGAACCAGTTTTGGCCTGATCCCACAGGCCAGGCCGAGGGACCCCACTGGTAAATGAATTCGTGCACTGGGCCTCTGGTCACTTTATAAAAGAAATGACAAACTGACCAGATGAGGATGCTGGTATAGGTGTACTTAGTCAGTTATCTATATACTAGAGGCCTGGTGCACAAATTTGTGCATGGGTGGGGCCCCTTGCCCTGGCTGGTGATCGGGGCAATTGGGGCCGTCTCGCCCATTCTTGATTGGGGCTGATCAGGGCCAGCTGATGCAGGGGAGGGACTGCAGAAGGTTGGCTGGCTGCGAGAGGTTGGCTGTGGGAGTGCACTGACCACTAGGGGACAGCTCCTGCGTTCAGCATCTATCCCCTGGTGGTCAGTGCACATCATAGTGACCAGTAGACCAGTCATAACAGTCACTTAGGCTTTTATATATCCTATATAATAAAAGGCTAATATTGCAAATTGTCCCCTCGAGAGTTCGATCACTTGCTATGACGTACGCTGACCACCAGGGAGTGGTGCGGAATGAAGGAAGGCCCTGGCCGGTAGCCAGCAGCCAGGGGAAGGAAGGGCCCCGGCTGGCAGCCAAAAATCCCTGATGGGCCCTGATCTCCAACCAGGCCTAGGGACCCTACCCATGCCTGAATTTCTTGCACTGGGCCTCTAGTATAGATATAAAAGCTTAAGCGACTGTTCGACCATTCATCCAGTAGCTATGATAAGCGGTGACCCCTAGGGGGCACACACTCTGACCAATAGAGGAGGGAGCCCAGTTCCTCATGGAATCAGCCGTGGGTTAGGTTGCTGCTGGGGCACTGTTGGCCCCGAATCTGCTTCACCCACACCCCTGACCCAGAGATCGGATTTGGCCCAATCCCCGTAGGCCAGGCTGAGGGACCCCACCAGTGCACTAATGAATCTGTGCACCAGGCCTCTAGTTTAAGATAAGAGATGCATAGTAACTAGAAGATATAGTTGGTGTGTGTGTGTCTGTCTTGGTGCCTTGTTTTTAGACTGCCTGGGGTGTATGCATCCCTTTTGACCCATTTGTTACCTTTGTTTGTTTCATTTGGTTAGTCTACAGATTGGTCTGGAACTACGTAGTCTCTTTTCCTTCTTTAACTGCCTAAAGGGCTTTTCTATTTAAAAAACACACACACACACAAGAAAAAACTATAGTTGGCATCAGTATTAGCTTCAGGTGTACAACATAGTGCAGTGGTTCTCAACCTGTGGGTCGCGACCTCTTTGGCGGTCAAATGACCCTTTCACAGGGGTTGCATAAGACCATCCTGCATATCAGATATTTACATTACGATTCATAACAGTAGCAACATGACAGTTATGAAGTAGCAACGAAAATAATTTTATGGTTGGGTCACAACATGAGGAACTGTATTGAAAGGGCCAGAAGGTTGAGAACCACTGACATAGTGGTTCCACATTACCTTCCCATGTGATTAGCACACTAAGTCTAGTAACCATTTTCCACTGTGCAGTGATCTCCCTATTATTGACTGTATTCCCCTTAACTTTTTTCACCCATCCCTTCACTTCCTACCCACCTACCCCAGCAACCATCAGTTTGTTCTTTGTTTTTATGAGTCAGGTTTTGTTTATTCACTTGTTTTGATTTTTTTTTTTAGCTCCACATATGAGTGAAATCATGCAGTATTTGTCTTTCTCCGTTTGACTCATTTCCGCTTAGCATAATACCCTCCAGATCCTATCCGTGCTGTTGCAAATTTCATTCTTTTTTATTGCTGAGTAATATTCCAGTCCCTGTGTGCACGCGCACGTGTGTGCACGTGTGTAATCACATCTTCTTTATCCATTCATCTGTTGATTGACATCTAAGTTACTTCCATATTCTGGCTATTGTAAATAGTGCGGCAGTGAATATAGGGGTGCATATATTTTCTATCTTTTTAATAAAATGTTTTGCCCTGGCAGGGTAGCTCAGTTGGTTAGAGTGTCCTCCTAATGCACCAAGGTTTCAGGTTCAGTCTCCAGTCAGGGCATATAACAGGAATCAGCCAAAGAATGCATAAATAAATGGAACAGCAAGTTGATCTTTCTCACTGTCAAATCAATTAATAAAATAGTTTAAAAAAATTTTGTTAAGTTTTCATATTCAACAGCAACCTGTTTGTTCATATATTTACTCAGTTCCCACTGTGTGCAAGGCATTCTGGGCTGTATAAACCTATAAAAGCTGTGGTTCCTGCCCTTGCATCGCAGAGTCCGATATAACTATAATGTTAGTAAATAGTGAATAGATTTGCTTCATTGCCGTACATTTTGAGAAGTGTTTTCATTTTGTAATCTCTCTTGTTAATTTTTGGTTTGTGAGATCTTTTTTCCTTGTCTATAGATGTCTTCATTTAAACTGTTATAATAGTACCCTTATTTGCATAAAGTCCCTGTTTTCAATTTTAAGATATTTATAAAAAAATCTTATTACAATGCTAAACTAGGTTTTGAGGTTTGTTTACTTGCTTTTTAACATTACTACATGTCTGGGCACTTATAAAAATTATTACCAGTCTGTAAGTACCAACTTCTTAAAACCCATAAATTTTATTAATTTATTTTTTTCTAGGTTGCAATAAAAATAATTGACAAAACTCAGTTGAATCCAACAAGTCTACAAAAGGTAAGATTGGTCCAGTATCCAGTACTTTTTAAATGATTTTCAGTGCTAATTGCCATCTAATTTGCCTCTTAAATACCTCTACTGGTATTTTACTTACTGTGTTTTAGTACAGTAAAGCTTTGTATTCCTCAAAAGAACGCAACTTAAATGTAGCATTGTATAAATGTAGTATTAATTGGATTTTTTTCCTTCAGTTGAAGATAATGCTTTTTAATGTTCTTAGTAGCAAACTGAAGGCTGTACTTTTAAATTGAATGTTCTAAATAATGATTAGAATAGAGTTTTTAAAAATAATACAGAACCACATATTTTCATATAATTCATTTTTAGTCAGCATTATACACTGTGTAACTAATACATAGATCTTCAAAGTCAGCATTTTGGCTTTATTAAATTCACATGAGGTCAAATAAAGGAGTGTGGATTAATTCATATAAAAGGAATACTGAATGGTAGTTGGAAAAACATGTCTGTAATACACTGTTGCCATTTGTGTCACCTAGTAACCCAGGAGTTCTCAGCCTGGTGCACGTTAGACTCATCTGGGCCTCTTCAAAGCCCTGATGACTGGCCCACAGGAGAAATTGAATCGTTCGTGTAGGGCCTGGGCGTAGGCATTTCACTGGTGCATTCTGCAAATGATTGATAATCTTTATAATGAGATCTAGTATTTTTATTGGTTTTTGTTTTTTGTTATAATTGATTTCAGAGAGGAAGGAAGAGGGAGAGAGAGGTAGAAACATCCATGATGAGAGGGAATCATGGATTGGCCGCCTCCCGCAAGTCCCCCACTGGGGATGGAGCCCACAAACCAGGCATCTGCCCTTGACCGGAATCGAACCCAGGACCCTTCAGTTCGCAGGCCAATGCTCTCTCCACTGAGTTGAACCGGCCAGGGCTATTTTTCATTTTTAAAAGGCTTTTTATATATTGCATTTGATTTCTAGATTTGGCCTAGGGAGGTGGGTGATACAGAGACATTGCACTAGACAAGAAGTCCTGAATTTTACTCTTGGCTGTGACAGCCAAATATGTAACTTAACCATGAGCAGGTCACTTAATTTTCTGGACCTCAGCCTTCTTATCTTTAAAATGGAGATAATTTCATCTTCTCAGGATGGATTATTAATGAAATAATGGGTATTATGAAAGCTTTGTAAATGGCAAAGCATTGCACATTTAAGATACTGTAAGTATAATGCTCTGTGTACGTTCCTAACGTATTCCTGATGGTTATTTTCCATTTATGTCATGAGAATTTTTAAGCCTTGTTCATTTGTGAGGTGGGGAGGGAGGTAGACTTTACCTTGCACTAAAAATGGCATTTAAACACGTGGTTCTGAAAGGCATAGTGGGCCTTAAGGATTCTCAAGGTGGCCCTGGAACAGCTTCAAAAATTCCAGTCCTTTGTTCTGAAGATGAAATTGTATTTATGTCCTTAAACTTTTATTTCTTTATATAGCTAAGGACTTTTGGTACTAACTAAAACTAAGCATATAAACAAGTTTACTGAGTATTCGTGTTCAGAATTCAAATGATGTTACAAATCTCCCACTGTCCTTGTAGGTAACTGGAATTCTAGCAGTTTTCTATTGAGAATTTAAAATACGTTTTTATTGGTTTTTAGAGAGGGAGAGAGAGAGAGAAACATCAACTGGTTGCCTTTGGCCCACCCCCCACTGGGGATCGAGCCCTAAACCGTCATGTGACCTGGGAATTGAACCAGTGACCTCTTGGTGTACTAGATGACACTAAAACCCCTGAGCCACACTGGCCAGGGCTCTAGGGGAGAATCCTTCCTATCTAATAAAAGAGAAACATGGTAATTAGCATACGACCGCTACCCTTCCCATTGGCTAATCAGGGAGATATGCAAATTAACTGCCAGCCAAGATGGCAGCCGGCAGCCAGGCAGCTTGAAACTAACATGAGGCTTGCTTGCTTCAGTGACGGAGGAAACCAACGTTCCCCGCCTGCCTTGCCTGTCTTGCCGGCCTCTGAGCCTGCAGTTTGAAACATTGTAACAAATATAGAAGCTAAACAAAACCCCAGAAACCTGCTTTCAGTGTGCCGGGATCTCAGAGCTGGAGTTATACATTGTTTTGATTATAGAACCCAAACAAACCAGATACCTGCTTTCAGCAGCAGAGGCCTCAGAGCTGGAGCCAGAGCTAAAGCTGGCCCAGAATAAAAAAAAAAAGAAAAAAAGGAGCAGTTGGGAGCTTCAGCCCTCAGCCCCTCACCCAGACTGGCCATGCAACCCAGTAGGAACCCCCACCCTGAAGAGTGTGTGACCAGCTGCAAACAGCCATCATCCCATCGCCCAGGCTGGCCAGGCACCCCAGTGGGGACCCCCACCCTGATCCAGGACACCCTTCAGTGCAAACCAGTCAGCCCCACCCATGCACCAGGCCTCTGTCCTATATAGTAAAAGGGTAATATGCCTCCCAGCACCGGGATCAGCGGGGCCGAGAGGCCTCCCGGCACAGGGATCAGCATGACAGGGGGCAGCGCCCAAACCCCCTGATCGCCCTGCGGCTCTGTGTGTGACAGGGGGCAGGGCCACAACCTCCCTATCCGTCCTGCTCTGTTCATGACAGGGGAAGGCGCCCCAACCTCCTGATCAGCCCTGCTCTGCCTGATACGGGGGAGCTCCCCAACCCCTTGATTGCCCTGCGGCTCTGTGTGTGACAGGGTGTGGCGCCCCAACCCCCCCCCCCCCCACGGGCCCTGCTCTGTGTGTGACAGGGTAGAGCCATAACCTCCCCATCGGCCCTGCCCTGAGTGTGAGAGTGGCGGCGCCCAACCCCCTGATCCGCCCTGCTCTGTGGGTGATAGAGGGCGGCGCCCCAACCCCCCTCCCCCCCCACGGGCCCTGCTCTGTGCGTGATGGGGTAGAGCCATAACCTCCCTATCGGCCCTGCCCTGAGTGTGAGAGTGGCGGCGCCCCAACCCCCTGATCGGCCCTGCTCTGTGGATGATAGAAGGCGGCGCCCCCAACCCCCTGATCCACCCTGCTCTGTGTGTGACAGGGGGCGGTGCCCTAACTCCCCTATCGGCCCTACTCTGTGAGTGACAGGGGGAGCTCCTCAACCCCCTGATGGGCCCTGCTCTGTGCGTGACAGGGGGGAGCTCCTCAACCCCCTGATGGGCCCTGCTCTGTGCGTGACAGGGGGGAGCTCCCCAACCCCCTGATTGACCCTGCTCTGTGCGTGACAGGGTAAGGAGCCCCAACCCCCCGGATTGGCCCTGCTTTGTGCGTGACGGGGTGGTGCCGCAACCTCCCCATTGACCCTGCTTTGAGTGTGACGGGGTGGTGCCCCAACCCCCCAATCGGCCCTACCCTGAGCGTGACTGAGGGTGGCATCGCAACCTCCCGATCCGCCCTGCTCTGTGCATGACAGGGGGCGGCGCCCCAACTCCCCAATCGGCCCTGCTCTGATCCCGACCAGGGGCTGCACCTAGGGATTGGGCCTGCCCTCTGCCACCCAGGAGCAGGCCTAAGCCAGGAGGGCGTTATCTCCCGAGGGGTCCCAGACTGCGAGAGGGCACAGGCCAGGCTGAGGGACCCCCCTTTCCCCCGAGTGCACAAATTTTTGTGCACCGGGCCTCTAGTTTTATCACAATACTTTCTTGAGCTGGTTATAATTTTTCCTTCTTTGTCGCTTGCTTTTTTCATTATTCTTGGCTATAGTTTTTAATTGCTATACTTTTATTATTATTATTATTATTATTAAAATTACTCTTTGTCCTATCATTATCAGTTTAGTACATGATAAGTTGCCTGGTTAGCCTGATAGTGTGATTATGCAGATTTGCATCACCATTAATTTTGGCACATAAGACTTTGAGATTGTTTGTCATGTAGTTCAAGTATGAGCCATCCACAAAAGACTTATCCGTTCACGTTAGATAAATTGGTAAGTGTAATGTTTTCGGTTTATAAGGCAGTGTTTTATTTATTTATAAACATTTTTAAGTTTATTTCAGAGAGGGAGAGATAGAAACATCAATGATGAGAGAGACTCATTGATCAGCTGCCTCCTGCGCATCCCACACTGGGAACTGATCCTGTGGCCCAAGCATGTGCCCTGACCAGGAATCAAACCATGACCTCTTGGATCATAGGTCGACGTTGAACCACTAAGCCACGCCGGCTGGGCGGGCATTGTTTTAAATCGTGTGTATAAGTTTGTATTCTTTTCTTATAAATTAGAAGCATTCTATATTTCTTTCAAATTCTTCACTGAGTTCATTTTCCATGGAAAATAGTAGGGTGGAGTGGACCTGGCATATTTGACCCCCCCCCCCCTTTTTTTTTAGATTCTCACCCTAGGGTGTGTTTATTGATTTGAGAGAGACAGACAGACAGACACAGCATGAGAGAGACACATCGAATGGTTGCCTCTCGTATGTGCCCCAACTGGGGACCAAACCCGCAACCTAGGGATGTGCCCTGACTGGGAATCAAATCCAAGACCGTTCAGTGCATGGGACAATGCTCCAACCAACAGAACCACATTGGCCAGGGCACATCTTTGGCCTTTCTTAAAAAATATATTTTTATTGATTTCAGAGAGGAAGGGAGAGGGAGAGAGAAAGAAACATCAATAATGAGAGAGAATCATTGATCGGCTGCCTCCTGCACACCCCACACTGGGGATCGAGCCCGCAACCCGGGCATGTGCCCTGATCAGGAATCAAACTGTGACCTCCTGGTTCATAGCTTGATGCTCAACCACGGAGCTACGCTGGCTGGGCTCTTTGGCCTTTTAATAGTAGTTCTTTCAGCCTTTTTTCTTCCTCAGTACCAATCACACATCAAGAACAGCTCTCTTTAATATATATATATTTTATTGATTTTTTTACAGAGAGGAAGGGAGAGAGAGATAGTTAGAAACATCGATGAGAGAGAAACATCGATGAGAGAGAAACATCGATTAGCTGCCTCCTGCACACCCCCTACTGGGGATGTGCCCGCAACCAACCAAGGTACATGC